ACGCCATTTCCCCCCTTTCTTCTTTGTGCATACTGTATTGGACAGCCATTCGGGAACTGTATCTCTCGAATGGCACCGGCTCTCAGGAGTTTGTCTATTTCCTCGTTGACCGCATTGGTGTGATGCGGGGCCATACGTCGTGGCCTCTGCTTTACTGGCTTGTGTGACGGGTCAACATGCAGCCTGTGAGTGATTATCTCGGGGTCTACCCCTGTATTTCCATCTTGTTCCAGGCGAACACGTCTGTATTTCCCCTTAGGAACTCAATCATCTCCTCCTGTTCGGCTGTAGGCATCGAGGTCCCCACTAAGAAATACCTCTCTTCTTCTCCCTCTATCAAGGGCACCTTCCGGAGGTCTTCAACCGACCGTTCAGTCGGGTCTATCCGGGGGTCATCCATTCCCGGACGCCCGGACTGTAATTGCTATTTTTCCATGATCTCTTCCGGTGCTCGCCCCTTCTCCTGGCTGGACGCCCCGGCTCGGACGGCCGAATAAAAACAGTTCTTCGCAGACGCTTGGTCCCCCCGGATCTCCATGATTCCCTCGGGCGTGGCGAATTTTAACTTCTGGTGGAAAGTGGAGTGTACCGCCCCCAACGCATGCAGCCATGTTCGCCCCATAATCACGTTGTAGGGAGAGTCCGTATCGATCACCACAAACTCGGTGTCGATGATAAAGGGACCAGTGGCAACTGGCAATGTGATTTTACCCACGGGCAAGGCGAATGAGCCGTTGAACCCGATGAGGGGTGTTTTGACTTTGGTGAGGTCTTTGAGGCCAAGACCCATCCGTTTCAGAGTTTCGAAGTACATCACCTCCGAGGAGCTCCCTGAATCTATCAAAATTCTCTTGACATCGAATTTCCCTATCTTCAGGGTCAAGACAAGGGCGTCGTTATGAGGAATCACCACGCCTGTCAAATCCGCGTCGGAGAACGTAATACCAAGCTCCCCCATCCTGGCCCTTTTACTTGATGCCCCCACATCGCCCTCGGCTACCTTTCTTGTAAAAGCTACCCTCTTGAGGTCGGACTCGAGCTCTTTGGACGTGGGGCGCTCCAGGGGACATATATGAATGACGTCTATGACGTTGTCCGGTTCCTCGGTCGGGGCAAGGGCTCGTCTCTCTTCTGGCCTAGGCTCTATGTATTCTTTCAAATGTCCGTCTCGGACCAGGCTTTTCAAGAATGATTTGAACACCCTGCAGCTTTCGGTGCGATGCCCGACATCCCGGTGATATGAACACCTAACTTTTTGATCACGGGTGGAGGGGTCGCTCTGCATCTTGGGCGGCCATTTGAAGAACGGCTCGTGTTTGATTTTATGGAGCAACCTGAAGATGGGTTCCTTGAAGACAGTGTGAACTCCTCTGGACGAACCCCCTGGATGGGGTAGTAATCCCTTTCGGGGAATATCTTCGCGCTCCTTCTCCTTTCTCTTAGATTGGAGGGCTCGGCCTTTGTTGTTTCTCATCTCGTCCTCAACCCTCGAGTACTTGTTGATCCGGGCCATCAGTTCCCCCATATCTGAGGGAGTCTTCTTGGTCAGGGATCGGTACAGGTCCGTGTCCCTCGCCAAGCCGAGCCGGAAAGATGCCGCTGCCACGACCTCCGAGCAGCCTTCTACTTCATTGACCTCTTCCCAGTATCGGATGGCGTACTGGCGAAGAGTCTCTGATTCCCTCCGTCTGAGGGTCAACAATGATCCAATGTTTTTGGGGCGCTTACTCCCCGTAATGAATCGAGTCAGGACCTGCCTAGTCAATTCCTTCCAGGACCCAATACTGTTTGGGGGAAGCGTCTCGAACCATTTCATCGCAGAATCCCCCAAGCTCATTGGGAACACTCGGCAGAGAAACCGTTGGTCCGAATGATAAGGGACATCATCTGCTTGTACTGTCTGATATGGGCTTCGGGGTCGGACCGCCCGTCATAGGTTTTGAACCGCGGCACGATGAACTTTCTTGAGACCTCCATCTCACTGATTTCCCTCGTAAAGGGTGTTTGCATGACTTCGTCCTTGGCCTCATCCTGGACAGTCTTACCCTTTCTCCTGGAGTCTAATCGGGCTCTGAGATCAACTTCTTCCCTGACGGGATGCCTTCTGAAGTCCCTGAGTTCATTGGTAAGCCCCTCATTTCCCGGGCATCGTGTGGATTGGGTTGAGTCCTCCTCGGATTCATCTCCCTTCCTCCGTCTAGACAAACCTCGTCGGAGGTCGTCCAGGGCCAATGGCCTTGCTCTTCTGGACTGGTTGTCATGATGATGTTCGCCGGCTCTGGGTCGCTTTGGGGCCCTAGAGCTTTCTGCTTTATGGTCTAGGTGGTTTCTTAGATCCTTCGTTTCCACCTCACGGGCGAGAAGCCCACGGGAAAGGAATGAATCCCTCGACCCTCCGCCTGAGGCGGCAAACTCGTCAAGCCGGCTAAGGACATTTACATTGTCCTTCTCCAGCTGACGTAATCTATCGCCAAATTTTTCTTCAATCACCTCCGCCAGCTGGCGAGCCAAGGGGGCTGATCCCCCTGACCTGATCCCCATACTGGTTTGAGGGGTAACCCCTCTTGACCGCGTAGAGGCACTTTTATTCGTGTTAGTGTGATCCCTCCCTCCGTGATGACAGGGAGCTTGTAACTCGAGACTCCTTTGGTGGGGTCCTTTCCCTCTTTGTCGAGTGTTCACCATGGTCACTGTTCTTTAGAGAGAAAAGACTTAGGAAAATTAGTCGTTTCCCACAGACGGCGCCAGATTGTGCGTGCAGAATCTTGCACAATATAAAAAATGAGAACAGATCTCTCCCCTGGTGAACTTCGGGTGAGCCGGTGGAGTGACCAAACACGCTGCTTGACAGCTTGCACGGTACGATGGTAACCCGGAATGGCAACGGGAGACCCTAGGAAAGGAGTGACAGTCCTGGTGCGTGCAGGATCTTGCACAATATAAAAAACGAGAACAGATCTCTCCCCTGGTGAACTTCTGGTGAGCCGGTGAAAGGGGTCCCTGGAACAAAGAAAAACAAGTTAGAAGGGCGCCGGAGTGTTTTCCGGCGTATCCCCTCCGACGGTCTAGTCAGTCTTTGAGTGAGAGAGAGGAAGGAGAAAACACTGAGAAAAACGTATTGTGGTAGAGAGTTTGTTGTTTGCATACCCGCTTAGCCTTTTGAAAGGAGTATTTATACCTTAAGAGCTCATGATTGCTGTCAGCGTGGTCAGTAGGTGATCATTAGGCACAGGTAACGTGTGCATTGATTCTGATGAGGAATGTCTTCTCTAATTAACTGCTCGGGGTCCCGAGCAATCAATGCTGAGTCGTCGGGATGCCGACGGTACAATATGCTCATCTCGGGGAGGATGCAATAAATGCTCTGTAATGGGAGCATTTATTGCCTTTCATTTTCAAGCCTTACCGCATTGAATGCGGTCTCATCAATGGAAGGGTGCAATTAATTGTTTGCTTTCCCAAGCCGCGTGTCAGCAACGGCATGCGATTTGTCTGTCTTTGATTTGACATCATTTGCCACGCGTCCATCCCCTATTGGCTGTGACCTCTGTATTCCAGTATGTTCTGACATTACTTGTGTAAGACGAGGTCATGATGAACAGCCTAGACTAGTGACCTGTACGTCAATAGCTTATCCTGGAGTAGAGGAAGCGTTTAGGACGGGTACCTCTCGGCACTGAGGAAAGGCTCATCTCGGGGTACCGAGGGAGGTATGCCGAACGAGGTTCATGTCAGGCCGAAGCCACGTGTCGGTGTAAAAATATACCGAACGTATGATCCTATATGTCGGTACCTCGGCGGCGAGGACCTTCGTGCGCCGATGGTGCTTGATCTTAGCAACAGTGCTTTAGTAAAACCAAGGACACGTGTCTTCATCATACAATTTTTCAGAAAAGTCCCATCAAAATTAATTACAAGTTGCATGGGACACTGGGTGGGGACTCATTCTCAGAAGTTCCGTTGTGATTGAAGCCTTACGATTCAATTATGGCAATGCATTGGGGGGGACCAATTAAAGTGATAACTTTTTGGTGACAAAAAAATTGCCTCATGGCTCCATAGTGAAAACGACACCGATCAGGGGTTCATCGAATGGATAAGAATTCAATTTTTTTTATTCAATAGTTTGATTTTGATTTTTATAGCTATGATAGTTTGGCAGGATTATATATATTCTTTAGTGTTTAGAATATGCACTTAGACCTTAATTTTGACTTTCATATAAATACAATAGAATCTCTCACAAATAACTTGTGTGATGCTGATGAACAACACTCCTTGTATGAAGTAATCTATCTAAATATTCATTTGAACTATCTTGCTTTCAAATGATTGCCTACCTTTTATATTTTTAAATTTTATTTTTTTACACCTTTCACCCACCTTCTATGCACTAATTAATAGGAGGGTTAAAAAAAAATTGAAAAATTATCAAGGCTAAAAACTAAATATTTTTGAAAAAAATATTAGAAAAAATGGTAACTAAGAGTCATTATATAATCCAAGTGTTGAATGGGGCTTGAAGAAAAGCATTATTTCATAATAAAAAATTAAACTTCTAAAAATTTTAAAAATAAAAAAGGTATAAATTTCAAACCCTATCCTCCCAAAATTAATTGTGATGATAAAAAAATATGAATATCTGATAGACCTGACAACAAATTTGATAATTGAACCGAATTATTCGGGCTCAACTTGTTTTGGGCTTGGGTCGGACTAAATGAGCACTGTTTGAACAATTTTTTATGCTTGGTTTTTGACTGCACCTTTCAGAGTTAGGACTGGTAGCAGGCATGCTATAGATTACCATTTGTTAAACGAAATTTGGTTTTCTATTGCCCTGAAAAACATGGAGAATGTCCATGTAGCATTGCACTTGATCGAAAACAACAGTCCAAAAAAAATTAACTACCTATCAATTAATTCTTCTCTGTCTGTATGTGGGCCAAATGCTAGTATAAAAAGAGAGTTTGAAAGCTTAGATTTTTCATTGCAAAACAATGGAACAACATTTGCTTCCCTATAGCTATGCATGTGCTAGTATTGTATTGCTTATATGCATTCGTCTCTGTTATGATCTGTTGCTGAAGCCTCAAAGGCTTCGATTAAAGCTTCGAAGGCAAGGGATTGATGGTCCCAAACCTTCCTTTATGATGGGTAACATTCCTGAAATAAAGCACATGAAATCGATGGTCAAGCTTTCGGAGTTTTCAAGCGATAAATGGGAACAACCTCCACCACTCGACACTTCTTCCATTCTCTTCCCACATTTCAATCAGTGGACTAAGCAATATGGTATAACTCACATTTGTTGTCGTTTATTATCTATCTTTGTTTCATATTCTTCAAGTTTACTTGTGTTGGACTTTTTGCACCACTCAAAGTCAATACATGTATTTTCCAGTCACAAAATTCGAATTCGGATCATTTCAAACAAATAATGTTTCTTTGTTTTTTCATCTGATTAATTATGATTTCACTGAAGGTCATATGTTAATTAGTTTTGTTATTATGATTGGCGAATTTAGGGTGATTGGCGTAGACATTTGCCCTCCAAAACTTTTATCTATCATAATATTGTGAACAATGACACTCTCAAATTACATAAGCTAGCTTATCCCTCAATTTTGTTTACAACAATAATTGAAGTCTTTTCATAAATTCTTGGATCCGTCTCTGACAGCAGACATATTGTGTCATACCAGGAATAACTTTTTCATTTTCCCTTGGGAGGGTACGAGTGTTGTATGTGGCAGATCCTTATCTGGTGAAAGAAATAAACCAATGCAAGTCACTGGACTTGGGGAAGCCTGCGTATCTACAGAAGGACAGGGGACCTTTATTAGGCAAGGGCCTAATTACCACCAACCGTGGAGTTTGGTCACATCAGAGAAAAACCATAGCCCCTCAGCTCTACATGGACAAGGTTAAGGTATAATTTTGTTCCACTCGTCAATGTTTATTAAGAATATGACCAAATAGTTGTTGGTCACATATGGCTGTCAATGTTTTTAGTTAATTTATCCAGTTTCATGCCTTGTATGTAATGTCTATAAACCATGTACATAGCTGATTTCTGTTGTGTTAAGTTGGATTCCTGTTTACTAATCAAATTAACCTGTTAAACCTAAACCCGAACTCTCCAATATCGTGCCGTTTCATTAGAAACACGAAGCCTGAATGCACATATGATGGATTTAATCGCTGTAACCACTTATTGCAGGATATGTTGAATATAGTGGTGGAGTCTGCAAGCACATTGGTGAAATCATGGGAGAGTGTGGTTGAAAGTGAGGGTGGTACTGCAGACATAAAAGTGGATGATTATGTGAGAGAATTCACATCTCATGTATTCTCCAGAATTACGTTTGGGAGCAATTATTCTATCGGGGCTGAATTACTTCCGAAGTGTAGAGCACTTATCAAGGCCTCAGAATCACCCACCATTCTCAATGGGCTTCCTTTCTATAGGTGCGTAACTACTGTCTCTCTCTCTCTCTCTCTCTCTCTCGTGTTAGTGTGAGATATGAGTGCATGAGGCCATATAATCCAATAGGCAACAGTTAGGAATGAACATTCGTGGACTATAATTTATGGTTAGAGATGAAGTGTATACAATAAAGCGTTTCACAGACATTGATTAAATAGGCAGCATTAATAGATTGTTGTTGTTGGAGTTACATGATTTTTCAACAAGTCACATGATGAAGTGACTCAACACTGATTCAAATAAATTACTGCTGCAATGACAACACTCAAAAGAATGTGATTTTGCACCGATGTGTAGTTACAATGAACGACACTATACCAGTTTGTATTCACAATGACAAAACCTTTTTGACACTTCACTGATGCATCGAGGACATGTGCATCAGATTCAATAAGTTAGTACTCAATGTTGATTAATGCTGAAAACTATGATGAAGTTGCCTCTTGTATTTGCATGTTTATTCCGCAAACAAATTATTGTGAATTTTTTGGTTCAGATATCTTCCAACCAAGAAAAATAGAGATTTGTGGAGACTAGAGAAAGAGGTTCACTCGATGATCATAGATACAACAAAGAAACTTAACGGAGCTGTGGCCGACGACATGATACAAGTACTCATGGATGGTGCCAAGCGTGGTGAACTTGGGCCATCGACACCTGAAAAATTTATAGTTGATAATTGCAAGGATCTTTACCTTGCTGCATTTGAGGTCACTGCCATTGCCACAATATGGGGTTTAATGTTATTGGCTTCACATCCCGAATGGCAAGCTCGTGTTCGTGCTGAAATTCTGGAAGTTTGTGGGGGAAATATGCCGGATGGTGAAAAGCTTGGCAAGATGAAAGTGGTATGCGCCAGAACAACATGAACATACCATGAATAAATACACCAGTTTGGTCTGCATCCAATCTACTCCTCCCGAAATCGACTAAACGAGACTAAATTGAGTGTTAATATTTTAATTATACTGCATGGTTGATTTTCTGCATTGGATTGAGATAGCAACCTTCAGGGTGAGTCCAATGATTGATCCTAAAACTGGGAATAACGTCAAAAAAGGACCCAGAATACACCCAGCTAATCCTCTTCGATATTTAAGTCAATCGGTGCTTAAAGTATAAACGAATATACAATGCATGCAGAGTTATTCTTGCTTGTGTACCTAAGTTTGGTCTCAATGGGGTTATTATACCTTTCATAGCAATGAGGTGGCACCCATTCAATCTCCAATCCTAGGCTTCGTAGCATGTATCCTCTGTCTAGAGTAATAAGCGTTATCCTGTCACGACTTATTAATGTCAAGCGATTGGGCATCCAAGTTTACATGCTGAGATTCGATTGTACACTTATTACTCCATCTCCCAAACATCGAGTGCTACACCCCAATATTCACAGTTTGTCGACGATCATTTATGAGTAGGCACAAGGATCACTGCGGGAACACCTTAGGGCTCCTTCCCTACAGTAAAGGCCATGCCTTGTCATTTTGATGGTTAGTCTACAGTTGTGTGAGGATTTGACAGCTAATGATGATTTATCACATTAACGCGCTGCTCAAAGCTCATATATCGATGTCATCTAATACTCGGCATAGACCAAGTAAACATTCATTTGCAGGCCAAGCATCCTATGCTCGGTCTTTGCCTAAGCACCCTATGCTCGGTCTTGGATACCAGGAAACCATCCCACACGCTCTTACCATTATAGGCAGCCACGTGTCAGCTCCTAGTTGGATGGCCACCAACGTCCTGTCATATATTGTCAAATATGATGATCAAAATCTAAATTTTGTTGGTTTGATGCAGTTGAAGATGGTCATACAAGAGGTGCTACGACTCCATCCGCCAGTGGCATTTGTTTCAAGGGAGGCCTTGCAAGATGTGAAGCTTGGAAAACTAAGGATTCCTAAAGGTGTAAACATTTGGATATGGCTGCTAGCATTGCACCAAGACCCCAAACTTTGGGGGCCCGAAGCAGACAAGTTCAATCCAGCGAGGTTTGCTAATGGAATATCGGGAGCATGCACATACCCACATGCCTATGCACCATTTGGCATCGGGGCACGTATATGTCCTGGCCAGAGTCTAGCCATGTTGGAGATGAAAGTCATTCTTGCTCTCATCTTACCCAACTTCTCTTTCTCCTTGTCGCCTAACTATTGCCACGCCCCACACTTTGGTCTGCTTTTGGAGCCTAAGCATGGCGTGAATCTCCTCATGCGCAAGATATGACCTTGGAGATATATATTACATATCAGTAATCACATGGTGATATCACCATTATGATCTTTGTACGAGGTTGTGTGTGGTTGTCATGTATGCATGGGGTGTACAAGTGTCATATTTTCAATAAAATGTTAGAGGTTTTTCTTCCTGTGGTGGGAATTTACCATATACACGTGCTTTTAACTAATGACAGTCATACAAACTTTGATTTTACTTAAAATTTTACAAGCCTCACATATTCAGTGAATGAATCTAATTGAAGATAACTTGCACAAATTACCTATATTATGGAGGAGGGGGGTTTGGTGTCCTCTCACTTTATTAGTAGTTGAGTAATAGTTTCCTAATATTAGTTTATTTATAGTTACTTTTCAAGTGAAACTATCCACTCTCTCTCACATCTCTCTTTTCTAGACATCTCTCCCTCTCATGTTCGCAAACACGACACTAAAAAATGCTTCACATATGCGTTACACGAGCATATTAAAATAAATCAAGTGAATTAATAGAAATGAAAATCTAAGGTAATTTTTTTGTTGCAAGTGGATGAAGTTCCCAAGCAGTGTTCTCTCTCTCTTCTCCCCCCCCCCCCCTCTTTCTTCCCTCCCCTCCCTCTTCCTCTCCTTTCGTTTTTCTCTTCGCACGAAAATTGGTACTTTTGTCATTTTTTAAAAAGAACAAAAGAAATAATATATTCTTGAAGAAGATTAGGGGTAAATAACACTGTACTTGGGCACTGTATGAATTAAAAAGAAATAACAGAATTGCATCAAAAAGAAATATTTTCTTGAAGAGAAAAGGATTATATATTCTCTCTTATGTACTTCGACATACGAAGTATGAATTTCATGATCCTGATTTTGATGCAAAGTTAGGTAAACACAATGAAATGACAGGACTACAAACGGTATCATAATTTTCCATAAACTTAGCAGTCTTAATTTACAATCTCAATTTACAAATTTAACAATCTCAACAATCTTAACAATCTTAATGTAGCACAAATAGACAATAACACCACACTAACATCAATTCATGGCATACCCAGCAATGTGCAGTATAAACATCAAATAATTAAAGTGTGTTTTTAGTTAAGTGTGTTTAATTGTGTTTTTTTCCTGAGTTCCAACCTTCATTTCTTTTCAGTTGATGACCCAGATGATTTTTTTTTCACTGCTCAGATGAGTTATAGTAATTGCAGTTAGATTTTTCAAACTTGTTCCATAATAAAAGAACTCAGCAAACGTTAAGATTGTGAATTTTACCTTAACGTTACAGAGTCACAGACAGCAGAGATCTGGAGCAGTGGCGCGTTGAACTGATCGACTGACTAAGAGAGATCGATTGACTGCTGAGTGAGTAACAGAGCAGTAGTCTCCTTCCTTTAGCTGCTTTTCGTCGTCGGAGAGGTCGCCTGAGTTGTCGCCTCCGCCTGAGAACTGAGCAGAGCAGTAATCGTCGCTGTTTCCTTCGTCGGCTGAGTGGTCGCCCGAGTGCACCTGAGTACTGAACAGCCTCAATGGACACCTGAGTTGTCGGCTGAGTGTCGCCTGAGCATTAATCGCTGCCTGGCTATTGCTGGTGAGATGAAGCTGCTGCGGTCTCTTCTGAGTTCTCACTTCTCTTTCGCTGGCTTCTGCAATTTAGGGCAAAATCAGAATGCGCAAATAAAAAAAAGCACATCAGATTCATTTTTTTTTTTTTTTTTAAGACTTCAAATCGTCCGGTTCACGGCTTTTTCCAAAAAAAACCAGCAGATTTAACGATTTTTATCCGGTTCCATTCCTTTTCCATTTCTGATAACACTGATAATTACTATAGGGGAAAATATCACAATTTTATGAATATTAATTAACGAGTCGTTTATAAAATCATAAAACAAGAATATAAATCAAATTATATATAATACTATAGCATTGATTTAGGATAGTATAAAATAGACAATAATAAATTAGAAATAGCTGACCTATGATATCTAAGAGACATATAATCACTATCCTAAAACAATTATACCTATCTACGTGAATGTATTAACGAATATATGCAACTTTAAGATCTAACTCAGATATGCTCACAACAGCATCTCTTCAAGGGTCATGTCCACTGGAAGATTGGGATAAATCTAATTCGAATCGAAGTTATTCATAAAATCATAATAGTAAAAATTCTATACTACTATTTTAGAATACTAGTTATTATCTGTCTAAAGGCACAAAGTAATAAAAAATGGTAATCAATAAATATATTTGTATTCATATTCAAAATCAAATCATAAACATAAAGAAGAGATAAATAAATTAAGCATCGACTTTGTAGTGAGAATGAGAGGTGGTGGATGACAATGGTGGTGGTAGGAGACGGTGATAGTTGTGGTGGGTGGCAATGACAATGGTGGTGGCGGTGGTGATAGTGGCAACTGCGACGATGGTTGTGGTGGTGGCGACAGCGACGACGATGATGGTGGTGGTGGTAGTGACGGTGACGGTGGTGGCGACGACGGCAGTGCGGCGGCGCTGGTGGTGGCGCTGGTGGTGGAGATAGTGGTGAGGCGGTTTCAAACACTATTTTTTTAAAAGTATTTATGCTAAATAATTTGTAAAAGTACTTTTAAAAATCACTCTAAATATACCTTTATTTTCTATTAAATTTAGGGTATTAATATTAGTCGTTAGATTAACTTTAAAGTAAAATTAAAGCAATCTCAACCGCGAATAGCAAAAATTATTTTGTTTATTTTTTGAAATTTGATTTGTAAGTTACTTTATTATATCAATTGAGAAGAAAGAGGTCGTAAAAGAAATCAAATTAAAAGATAAATTGATAGAACATATAGCAAATGAGGCAAATGACTAATTGGGAATATGGTTGATCCCCATCGACTACTGATCACTATGGGCCGCCTCTGATGGCTTCTTTATGTAACTTTTTTCTTTGTAACAGCTTGTCCATTAAATCTTAGATTACTGGCAAAATTGAATCTGCCATTCAAGTTTCCAATTATAACGGTTGTAACTAAAATAAAATAATTAGAAAGTTTTAAAAAACTTTAATTTATTTCAACAATCTTCCACAAGTTTTTAAAACTTGAGAAATTTTTAAATATAAAATATATAAAAAATAATGGCAATTATAATACTGTGCAATAGATGTAGGTGTCTTCCGACTTGAACCTCACTTAGTGTTGACAATTTCCCTTTGAAGGATCATAGTGACCAAAGCTTGAACTAGACCCTTTGACCTAGAGTTTAACTATCACACACAGAGTACCGATATTTGTCAAAATTCTCAGGTCAGTGCGTTTAATTGTCATACACAAGATTTTGATTCTCATGAGAGTTTATAGAGAGTAGCTCAATTCTCATAGTTGTGGTCTCACGACTACTCTCACTTAGGTGAGCCATCCAAGTGTACATATGCACAATACCCTGCAGGAATGTTCCTGTCTCATTCTCATTTAAGATAACATTCTTCATTAGTATCACACTACATATGCACCTCTATCATAGGGAAAAGCATGAAAATATTTCCTCTTAAAATATTTTCTCAACAACGGTGCTAATGAGTCACACAATATGAATTATTTCTATCCATTGAACTTCCTTTATGGGGACCCCCATCACAAAAGTTGAGTTACCTCCCTATGTGACTCCCTTATGGGCTTAAGCACATTCCTCTCGATAGTTCTTGAGACAGTTTTTCTCATAAGCAAAGATTTGAACATGTATTTCAAATAATACTAACAAACAACACATTAAAATGCATTTGTCTGAAAAGCACTTAGGTATGAAACAATTTATATAAATATCTCTCCAAATGAAAGATTACAACAGAATTAAGAAAGTTCAGTAGGTCCTTCATATATATTTTATTATCTTAAATTTTACCCCCACAATTTCAAGAATTCTCATGACAAATTTACCCATGCTTCAAAAAAGTAGCATTTGTATCAACCCCGCATTGCAAGAATTTCTTGCCCAACATATTGAATAAATTAAATTCAAGGAAAAGATGAACTTGAGGCTTGCATATACACAGAACACAAATAAACCTCAATTTGGTAAATATAAAACTCATGCTTACAACTAGTCTAGAGCATTCAAAATGTGATAAAAGGAAAGCATATAATATCATAATATAGTCGGAGTGTCACAGTAGGAACCGGCAGATTATTTGCCTTTTGAATACTAAAGAATAGAAGACTACAACTATAGCTAACAGCTTTTCATTCAACCACCTTTTTTTTATTTAAAAAAAACAACCAATATCCTTTTTAAAGGTCCACATAAAAAGCATGATACAATTTTTGCGCACAATCTTTCTCGTAAATACTTCGATGTCAGGAAAATCCCCACGACATAAATCTAAACTATCTCCAAAGGTTACATAAAAATGTTAAGGCATCAAAAAGAAATAAAACTTTGACACCGAAACTAATTGTGTAAAAGCATCACATTAGTAATAGAACTACATGTCTTTTGGGGCAGAAAGAAATCATAGTGCTCTTCCCGAAGTTTATCATGCATCTTGATATTCTTGGACTAATCCATATGGCATCTAAAGTTTTTTGACAAAATTTTAATAGAGACATTAATCCCATTGTCATAATAGACATTCTTAAAAAAATAATTGATTTACACTAATTGGTCTAAGAAATAATAATAATAATAATAATAATTTTGTCAAAGGTCACCTTTTGTTCATTTGTTGGACTATTGGTTTACTCTTTTTCAATAGAAGTGTTCTTTCTAAACAACCTATCAATATAATATAAATGAAAAACCTTTTGTATTGGACCAAACTATACCAACATCCCCATTCCAACCCAATCATTTGCACCAAAAGTCACTGTGTTGCAAGTATTGTGTTGCAAGTATTAAAATCCATACGTATGAGAAGCTCCTCACAAGAATGACTCAATAACGGTAACTCAAGATGTCATTGTACAATCAGTGAAAAATATCACCAATGACCAATCACATACTAGATATATGTGAAAATAAAATGCT